TGAACGCGTGAGAGTATGGTACGTAACTTCGACCAGGGCAATATATCTGTCGTCGTATTGCTAAATTTGGATGTGTACCGGCCTTGATGTCAGTTTGGAATCATCTTGTGTGCGGTAGTCGAATGATTCACAAGAAGTGTCGTGTCACGGGTAGGCCTTAGATACTTCAATTCCTTGACTTTTCTGTTTATGCTTAAGCGGTTAAAGGAACCATTCTATGTCACGTTGTTAGTATTCAGACGTCCCTTATTTGCGGAGCAACGTTTACCGTTGCAAAGTGCCAGATGAGAAGTTGGGATGGAGTGTACCATTCCCGGAATACAACCCGCCAGACTACACTGACCCAAAGGTGGTAGGCAGAAGTTGGTCTGATCCTGAGATACAAGCAGGCAACTTCAGGTGGAATGCGGTTGACGGAAAAGTCAATAGGAAGTCATACATGGGGTAAGAGAGCTTTTGAATTTTCTTTCAGCAGTGAAAAGATATCCTTCAAGAAATACACGGGATTTCAGTGATTACTCTTTTGATTCAACGTCAAGGCCAATCAACCCAATCGGTCGGACAGGACTTCGCGGGCGAGGCGTACTTGGAAGGTACATTTTATTTTTTTCTGATGATGGCGCTACTCCATTTTAATAACAGATTTCGGTATTGAGTGCCCACTCATAGAGGCAATTTCTGGTATTACTACTTAGTCATGAAATTTTCTTTGGTTGAGCCTATGTGGAGTAAAAAGTTTAGGTGGCCAAACTGCTATACAGACCCGGAGGTCCTTTCCGCTTGGGCTAAAGCAAAATATTGACACCTTAACGCTCAGGCTGCGTTCATACTTTGCGGCAGCGTTCACCAGCGACCATCAGCGTTTCGAGCGTCCGTCAGCGTAAGCGACTAGAAAAGTATAGATATCGATCAAGCGGAAGGCAGCGTTTACCACCGTCTACCAGCGTCTTTAGGTACTAGGAAAATGTGGATATCGGTCCAGCGTCCATCAGTGACCAGGAGTAGGCGTCGTGAAGTTGTGGCATGTGCAACCGCACCTTAATACTACATAATACCGTACTCCTGGTCGCTGATGAACGCTGGTGGTCGCTGGTGGACCCTGGTAGGCGCTAGATCGAAATCCAAACTTTCCCAATCCCTCTAGACACTTATGGTCGCTGGCGGACGATGATGAACGCGGGTGGACGATTGTGGACGCCGGTAGACGATGTCGCTCGATAGATCTATACCTTCCTAGTCGCTGACGCTGACGGACGCTCGAAACGCTCATGGTAGCTGGTGAACGGTGGACGCTGCCGCCAAGTGTAAATGCAGCCTAGTTCCTCTTTTCGAGCTGACCAGAACATAAAGACGATTTCTAACATAAAAGCTTCGGCGAAATGACTTGGAGATAAGATAAATAGAAGATCCATCAATGATCTCATGATGGCTCCTGAGATCCTGACAGGTAGAGTAACGACTTAATAGGGTGAATTCGTCACTTCAGTGACGACATAAAATAGAGTCTAGATGACTACCGTTCTAAACTGGTTCAAAATTTCGTGTTGTGGAGTGGTACAGTCATGATCCCTGCAAACGATAGGGCGTGTGGCGAGGCGTGCATAGCGCGACCAGGGCCTTCCGCACTAGTTGTAGCGGGCTCAGGATAGCAGCACTGGTGGGGAAAGCCGTCGTCGGCTGCGCTCCAGTCCACCCCCTGCTACACGCCCTGTCGTTTGCAGTGATCACGTCTTTATGTGGGCAGCATTGTCGTGCACCATATTTTGTCTTTGTTAAGGTGGGGACCGAACCACGCTGCTGACCCGTTAGTCACCAGAATCAAAGACGGAAAGCTGCAATTTGTAGCCATAAAAAGATCGGACACAGGTACCTTTCTCTTCACTATCCTGCAGATACTGCTTTTTTTCTTACCAGGGAAGATCAACAGGTCGCCTTGTGCGTCTCGGAAAACTGAACTCAAATCTGCATTCAGAATTTGCGGGACAATTCTCTAGGAGGAGTTACAGCGGGGAGGGGATTCTAGCATAGCACCCGCCGGCTCTCCTTTGTGCTAGCTCAAGTGAATTTCGAGAATAGACAGAGCGGTCGATGGTGCAATGGATAGATGAGTTGCTCCATAGATGCGAGCCCAGGGATTCGATTCCTCGGCAGGGTCGCGTTTTTGCTTTTTTTTCCGGAATGTCTTGTGTGAGGCGTTCCCTTCTTTTCGGCAGGTGCAGGCTATCATATCGTTCGTATCAGTCGTTTTCCGCCGACTGTTGTTGCTTACTGGCTTCGATAACTGGTCGAGAGCGGAGTGGACTACCAAACCCAGCCTCACTGTCACGCCCCATCATCCCAGCGAACTAGACTGAACGTTGAACCAGCTGGCTCCGGGTGCCGCGCGCGCGGCATCACGTGCAACGTCTCTGTCGCCTTCCCTCGCCGTGACTCAGATGTGCTGAACTTCTAACATTTCTATTTGCTTTGTATTTGTTCTACACTAAAGCATTTATAAGCAGCATTTCGCGCCGTTAGTAGGGTGATTTAACCACTGTATTCTAGGAGAATGGGCCATTCCGGGAGGCATGGTGGACGCAGGGGAAGAAGTTTTCGAAACACTCAAACGTGAATTTACCGAAGAAACACTAGGTGGTAAAGTACGATCTGAATTAGATCGTTTATGGGCAAAAGGACAAGAGCTGTACAGGTAATGCACAGGTTATTGATTTTTTGAACTTTCTTTTTGTTTCAGAGGTTACGTGGATGATCCCCGAAATACTGATAATGCTTGGATGGAGACCGTGTGCGTGAACTTTCACGATTCCAGGTCTCTTGTGGATAAAGTTGGACTGCAGGTTCGATCTAGTTATTTGTGCTAAACTAGATAGATTAAGAGCGCTATCTTCGTCAGTGGGATACTTCACAGTGATAAATTAAATTGGTTAAAAAAAGGATAAAAAGGATAAAGTCTTCGCCGTTGATCAATCCCTTTGTGGGATGCGGCACGCATTCTACTTCCATTCAGAATCGTAGTGGCTTATTGAATGCGATGTGGCCTATACAATGACTTGCGGTGGCCAGCCGATGTACAAGTCAGTGTTTTATCCTCCCAGACGAATCTGGTACCAATTTACCGTCCCCGGAGGGTAGAAGGCTTGGTTGGCCTGGGCGGGTGTCGACCCGGGATTCGAACCCGGCGCCGCGCGAGTGGTAAGCGCGCCACTTGTCACTACACCACCTCCGCCTCGAAATTGGTTAAATTAAATTAATTAATCAAGTCTATAGTCGTGCGATGGGGAGCGCAAAAGAGGCATAGTTCTTAGTTTCGAATACTGACGAATCGGCGAAAGAAATGCCTCCCCGAAAAGGTTTTGAAGGTGGCATCGGCGGACCGAGCGGAAGAATCCGTACCTCGCTAAAAGCATAGGATATGTATCGATGCGAAAGACCGCGACTCGGCCGGCACGGAACTCTAGCTCTATACGTTCACTTCTTCTCTTCTCTTGAGCGAAATCGATACAAATTCAGCTCTTTCATAATCAACAAATGAAAATACGACTATCTCGCTGCACTCAACCTCTAGCTTCCTAATTCGATAAACACTTCTTCGTTAGCACTGATGTGAGGTCCCAAAGAACAAAATGATCAATGTAATGATGTTTATTGAAGGCCATGATGACGTTTCAAAAGATTAATTAATTCTTCGTGCGAGGCGTAGAGAGGCTCGTTTGAATCAACAGTTATCCACCTGACATCCACAGCATCGTCGCGGGCCTGAAGAGGCAAATAGAATACACTAAGAAAATACAGCACTGCTGAGGTTAGTAGGGCAACTAGGCCACACGAGTAGCCACAAAGCATGATTCTTCTGGGGAAGAAGCGAAACGAATCATCTGTGCTTTGAAGCCTTTTCTCTTTCCAACATTTCGTTTCTTTGTTTCTGATTGTTCACAGACTACGACCCTCATGAATCGGAGAAACGCCGAAAATCATCAAAGAGGAGTGCCTGGAGCTCTTCTGCGAAATCCCGGCGAACTCGGCCAATGCAA